CGTGCCCCGCTTGGTAAGGTGGATCCCATCACTCCCCATCAGCTGTTGATCTTCCAACAGGGTCCCATGGTCATAGAAACCAAAGTCCTGTTGCCAACACCAGCGGCGCAGCCAGTTGTTAACTTGGAAAACTCGTCTACTCCTCCTCTTGCATCCCTACTCAGCAGGGGGATAGAGAACAGCAGGGAATGCTGGAAACCGTCTGGCTTTTGGGGAAAGTCTGAGTAGTTGCTCACCATGTCTACTCCTCCTCTTGCATCCCTACTCAGCAGGGGGATAGAGAACAGCAGGGAATGCTGGAAACCGTCTGGCTTTTGGGGAAAGTCTGAGTAGTTGCTCAACAAGCAACTAGATTTTCCCCTAAAAGAGATGACAGAACTGCTTTAGGCTGATCCTACATGCCTTTGGCAGACGTACAAGAAATTGGGCACTTAATACTTTAATCTGCTAGAACACCTCATACAGATCAACAGATTACCTGCATAGTAGGTGACTGTTCACTGCAATTCTGCACCGTGCCCAAGCCTAACACCAGGTTAACAGGAATTCATTGGATTTTGAATGTAATAAAGTCAGAAAAAAAGAGACTGCAGTTAGAGTCCTCTTTCCAGCAGAACAAAGTTGTTACCTGAGAACGCTTACCTGAATCTCCATAGGGAACAACCTCCCCTGGTATACCTAAAATATTACACAAAGTTGACGTAGATTAATATCTATAATGACTATGCATATCTTTCTGCCAGTCCTACCCATGCAATTCTATTGAAATTAGTATGATTGTGTAAGTGTGACAGCAGAGATTCCAACTCTTGCTCTTTAAAAAGGGCAGCTCATTTGTGGGTCAGGCAGTTTAGCATCTACAGGAAGTATGGACAGAGTATTAACCCACCGTATTCTTTCTCTCACAGTGACTGCAGTCAGGTATAATCAGACTCCTGTGAGATAAATTAAATCTACTGATGCCAGTTTAAATAAGCTGCTCTTGCATCCGGTCTGAGATCAATTTAAGATGTTAACTGAATGATTAAAGCCTTAACTTTTTTACATCCATAGTTCTATACCACAAGCTAATGCTATTTCTGTGTGTTGACACAGGATCTTTTCTTTATCTGCATTGTACTTTTTTTCATTTTTTTTTCTTTAGAAAGAAGGGAAAAGCTTTGGCACCAAGATGCAAGGCATGGTCTTCACTGATTGTCTCCAGTCAGTCATGGGGGCTGACAGCAGATCCTGTAACATCCTGACCAGCTTCCTGTGGTAGATGTTTCCAAAAAGCTTTTGCTGTTTTTCAGTGGCAACTGTCTATGCAGACCCAGAGAGCAGAAGTTCTCCCATGACTCTAGGTTTTGCTATTCTCCTGACTCAACTCTAACGCTCAGTCATGCTCTGTGGTTAGTACTACTTCTGCTTTGTCTTTCAGGAAATACCTTTTCTACAGCTAAATTCTGACTGGTCCTTTGCCTATGCCTAATGCTGCCTGTGGAGCATTAATATACTTTTATTTCAAAGTCACCAGACTTTGAACCAGACCATTCTTCTGGCTGAAGAATGCCAGAAGTGATCCTTTTGTTGTTCTATATTGGTTGTCTCCAGTAAAAACAATACTGCTGTTACTTTGTCCTACCTCTGTGTAATTGGCCTTCAATTTTCCCTCTTCCTAAATATTCCTCAACATTACCTGGATAGAGAAAGTGTTTTCTATCAGGCCTAAAGCAAATGTGCCAGCAGTATCAAACAACAACACTCTAGCTGTTTGCTGATAATATAATTATGGCCACAGGATATGTGGTCAGAAATCAAGGCTTTGAAATGCAAGGGCCATTATTAGCTGTTCTTGCCTCACAGCTCTCTTTAAAGCTGGTTGAATAGGAGAGAAAGAGCAAAATCTTTCTGAAGATAGGGTAATTGGTATAAAGGGGTATAGCAAGAAAACTCCGATTTTTAAACACAAAAACATCAGCAGCACCGCTAACCATTTTTTAAGTTATTTCTAAATGCAACTCATTTGGTTTCAATCCATCCTTAGTGGCTTTCTGTGACAGAATAAGCCAATATCAGCGTTAGCACTTCTGTGTTGCCTGACGCTTTCTTAGTCTCTGATTTTTCTTGAATTAAATGGTTTAGTGGCAGCCAGAGTGACTTTTGATACACTGCTGATGTTTGCTATTAAGGAAAAAAATGCTAGGGAAGGTCTACAGCATCACCAGCTACTGCTATACATTAACTATTATTTGCCTCCTGCTATAGCACAAGCTTCAGCAAGAGCACAATTAATTGCGGTCTGTAGAAGTTACGAGCTGATATGAATTTATTTGGGAAGGAACCTTGCAGCAGCTTCCTACATTTCCAAAAACTCCAGCTTCCACAGGGGCATGAGGCAGCCACTATTTTGCTGCTGCTGAATGTAGAGATATTGGTTATTTTCTGTGTTGTCTCTTTTGCATAGTTTCTTTATTTTTTTCGAGTTCTGCACAATTGCTCCTGAATTGGTGCAGGTCTTCTATGTAAATCTCTTCTGAACACTCACTATAACTAATTTGTGTGTCAGGGAAAAATAAAATAAATTCTCTTTACCTTGTGGATCTTCATCCATAGACTCCTGGGATGAACTTTCACCTTTCTTTTTCCCTTGTGAAAGCATGAAATTCCTTTCCCATCTCTTCAGGAATTTCAGTTTTTCATCTGTTGTGACATATAGAGAAAAAAACTTATTGAAACAACTATATACATTTTCTCTGCTTTGCAATGATGGATTAACAATGTTTCACATGCTGTATTAAGGGTAGCCTGACAGGAAATCAGGCCCTTAGCCTTATTTCAGCCATGCTTTTTGCACACGAGGAGTAGTACAAATCATTAAAAATAAAAGCATCATGGACACCACTGTTTAGCCTTTTTCAAACCGTTGTGGTAGGTACCTAGGCCTCTTTCTCTGTCCCTCAATTTACCCATAATGTTACCGCTATGAAAATTCCCGTTCCCTAAAGCAATAGCTGGAGAAAGTTGTTCTCCATCTCCTGGGCTACTTTACATCACTATGATTTTTGCTGGGTTCCCTGTATTTATGCTGCAAAGCCAGCACCCTCTTGTGGCATATGGCAGAGTCCTCAAAGCCGGCTAGGCCAAATCACCCAGGAATGGAAAACTTGCCAGAAAAACCTGCAGGAACACTCCTGGGCCAGGCAGTGAAGGGCTCTGAGCTTGTGTGGCTGGAGTTTTAGGTGGTTCTTAATGGCTTCAAATTCAGCTCTGTGCTGAGAGTGGGAAGGTCTGTGCGTCTCTTCACTGTTAGTTGTGATATTTAGACATTCATGACTGGACACGAATGAATACAACTCTGTGACGTATTAATGATGATGATGACCTTGGGGAGCTGCACTTCATTTTTTATTGGACAACAAGGCAAAAGAGAAGTGCAGTGGAGTCTGTCTGAATCTTGTTACCTGGCCTGGCACCCTAAGCAGCACCATCTATCCACTCCTTTTAGTTACTACTACACATGCTAGGGAGAATTGCAAAAATATTTTCAGCAGCTCAGCTCAGAATTCTTCCCTCTTTTGGAGCTCAGAGAGCTCCAGACCAGCTGGATAACAGTCCATGCAAACAAGTGTCTTAACTGCGGTGAATCCAGTTAGAGAGGAAAAACTGGGCCACTGCTGTAATTCAGAGAAATTTCTTTGGCATCACTGCCCCAGGCAAGGTTTCCTCCCTCCCTAAATGACCAAGGCTTTTTCCTCAAGAAGCCAATGCAAACTAAAATAAAATAGAGTCTTATCTTTGGCTCCCATCATCACCATACCTAAGTGATTTTTATAAGAAGTATTTCTAGACATTTTACAGTAATTCACTGATAGTCACTTCCAAGCATGCGTCAGAGTTTTCTGACAAGCGTCAAGTCCCAGTAGCAGTGCTGTTACTTTACCAAAACGGCTGAAGGGCAGCCAGGTAGGACTCACCCTTTCCCTTGGAGCTGGGCAGCTGCCTATATCCAGATGGGTTGGTTGTCTTCAGCAAGAGGTAAAGAACAGCCATTGCCCTGGCTCCTTTCTTCCCTATGACTTTCAGGCAGGCTGCACAGCCTCCAGGCAGGACATTGCATCTGTTGAGCAGCTGAAGGAAAGGTGAGTAAACAGCAAATAGCCTTTCCGATAAAACCTAGCATGTGTGACCAGATCCTGCTGTACAAATGAATGTCTCTCGTCCCATCTGTGGGAAATACAACCCCACTCCCCCCACCTCACACTTTACGAGGGGGAAACTGGGGACAAGGAGTAAAACCAAAGAGGGGAAGAGAACCTAAACTCCTTTCAGCAACCCAGAGAGGAGCTATCAACCGGGAGAGAACTGTGGTGCACAAAATTTAACTTTTTAAAGAGCTGGAGAAATACATTACAGGATCTGAAAACAGACATACAGTCTCTGCAGTATCATACATACGAGGCCAGCCCCTCTGGAAAATTATTTTTTTGCACATGGAGAATGATGAAATAAAAAAGCAGTGGCCCATGTCTCATTTATGTAAAGGCCCCTTTACACCACTTGGGGTGGTTTAGCATACCAGATAATTGGACTGGATGTTTTCTCCTCCCAAAGAATAGCAAGGAAGTACAAAATTATCTGTATAACAGTGTTTTGCAAAGAATGTATGTTTCTTTAATAACTTACAGTGTTTTTTTCTTCAGTATTCAGGATAGCTGGGTCAGTGGTGGCTAAACATTTTACGAGTGATTCCCAGAAGGACTGATTCATTTTCTCATGGTTCCCCAAGTAATTGGCATCAGCAGTAAAAGCACCCCGAAAAACGTCTAGGAGGAAAAATGGGCAAATCACTATGCAGCAGCAGTGGTGGTGTTCTTGTCATGCTCGGTGGAGGCCTGGTGCTGACAGGCTTCAGACTCTGCAGCGTGTTTCCTTATAGGAAGGAGAGTGGTGCTGTTTGTACAAAGAAACCCACCTTGCCAAAAACCAGTAGAGAAATATCAATAGTCCGCATAGATGACCAACATCTTTGTGATGCTGTTGTCTCAGTAAAAGAAGCAGGGGAAGTATTCCCGGCTATTTAATGGGTGTTTGCTTTGATCATGCTATTTTATAGATAGGGAATCGAGGCACAAAGAGGCAAAGGGCCAGGTATCAGGGTACTGAGATACTGAAACCGTAGGTTTTTCTACACAGCATTAAGCATTTAATGCACAGCAAAATCCCTTCACACATCTGAATTCCCACAAGCGCATGTCTGCGGCCAGACAGGAAGCCTGCGGAGGGACAGGGAACTGACTGCTGGTCTCTCTCGCAGCATGCTAGCGCCCTGATGGCGTGACGGTCCTTCTTTGCTAGACCATTGGCTACAGCAGAAACTGAGCAGCTACCAGGGGCAGCATGAATTTGGTCGGGAGGCAGAGAAAGAGCACATCGGCCAGAGGCCCTTTGGGGTTGAGCTCAGACGGGAGCCAGACAAGTGTGGCTGAAGCAAAGGCCTCCTGGCAGCTGGACCGTGTCTGTGGCATGTGCGGGGTGGGGGACACTGCTCATGGGCACAGAGCTTGGGCAGCAGTCTCATAATTGTCTGCAGGGGTGGTTTCTAGATAAAAGATCTTTTATGGCTCTCAGAGACTCTGCATTCATTCTTTCCTTTCCTTTCCTTTCATTTTAACCAGAAAATACAGAGGGGGAGCTTGTAGCTTGTGGTGCCTAGACTGAGCTGTAAGTCTGAGCGACCCCAAAGCAAAGCCCCTTCCTTTGCTCCACATCTTCTAGGTGTCTATGCAACATGCTCGGAGCTCCCCTCATGAGCTTTGCAGCTCTAGTCTGACTGTCAGGGGAAGTTTGGGGACAAGAAATCGGACTCTCTCTTATGTCTCTACTGCTAAATTAAAGAGGCTCAGGAACTGACCCCTTGTCGAAGGCCAACTGGCACAGACTTGGGTGGGGCCAGTCCCTCCTAGATAATTTTGTCTTCAAGAGAAGAAGCTAGAACAGGCCAAAAGAGCCAGTGAAGATTCAAACAAAGGCAAATTAACCTTTGCTCAGGTTCACTTCCAGCACTCTTTTAGGAAGCAGCGCACAGGTGGCTGCAGCAGCCATGTGACTTTGGTGAGCTGAAGCTGCATGTGTATAAAAGCAATGACCTCAGCCCTGTAGGCTGCAGTCAAGTAAAAATAATGGGCACTTGAGAGGACAGATGCAGGTCAGGGAGGGAAGAGGGGAATACATAGGAGGAATCTCTTGAAGGCTGAGGCATTCTTGAGCACGGACTGGTGGGTAAAAGCTGGAAAAGAGGATTTGAAGTCACTTGAGCTCCAGACACCTGAGTCTAAACAGCAGCAGGGTGATGGAGGTGACTCAACAGCACCGTCAGAGCATGGCACTGAGCTGGGACTGCCTCGCAGGTCTGCCGTCACATCTTGCTACCCTCCCACAGATGACTAAGGCCTGTTATAGGCCATCTTTTGGTGGCAGTGCACAGAGAGCAGGCTTTCAGCTCTGTTATTCACATTGAAATGAAGAGATCAGAAGAAGAAACACATTACATCCGTGGCATGTCGCTTGAAATCCACCACATCTAGTGGAGAGGATATTTTACAGGCAAGGAAAAGATGGATAGAGCATGTTTTCATGGGAAATGAATTTCATTGGTTCAGGATGACTACAGCAAAAACTGTTGCACAGTGGGAATAAGCAGAAGCTTTGGCCCTCGTGTGTTATCCTTACCTTGCAGCTCTTCAGTAAGATCTGGGAGCAAGCCATTCAAGTTCTCCATTGCTGCGCCTGTTGGAAAGAGGGGGGAAAATCAGATACTGTTTAGAAATACATCAGTTTGACCTTCTTTATTTTTCCACCATACACTTGATTTTCTGCAGACATGGCATCTGTCTCTAGGGACTTTAATTTTGAAATCACTTCTCTGTTGCAATGGGAATTTCACATCATGATTCGTTTACCCTCCCATGACCCATTCTCGACTACTCTGAGTGACTCTTGCTAGGCTGGCCTTACGGTTATTATGAAAGAATAAAACTCCGATCATCATGAGTAAAACCAAAAGAAGCCAGACTTGATCATTCACATTGTTGGGTTTTTTGCAGATACCAAGGTGTCTAATTAACTATTTGCCACAGATGTGAGTAACTTAATAGGAACTGTTCATTCACTAAAGAGAGTGATTATTCTTTACCTTTGACATCCTTACACTTTAAATGCGGCCCAAGCTTCCTGCACAGATTCCATCTCCCCTCATGCAAGACTTCAGCTAAAACACTGTTGTAGTGAGAGATGCAAAAGCAGACTTTTGGGGAACCTGAACTACTGTTTCCACTATGCAATGCACAGTAGGAAAACAGTTTATACCCATATACTTTTTTTTTTTTTAATAATATGGCTTTTGGGTCCATGCAACAAAACACTTTCAATCAAGCAGTTTGAATTCTAAGTATTTTCCAGATGGAAACCTGACATTTTCCTAAGGGCAATTTCAATTCTGTAGAGACTATCATCAGTTAGAAAACTATTCTAATACAAATTCCAAAACAGGTCCAGTCAATATCTTCAGAGGGTTAATGACATACAAGTAAGTGAAAATTTGTTAATTATGGAAACAGAACAGTTTTCTTTTTTAGTACGTCAGCATTTGTATACAGGAAATTGGACCCAAACAGACTCCAAAGTATCTGCAAAACCTTTGGGAGCAGGGTCCCACATGTTCTGCGATTCGAGGGGGTTTTCTTCTTTCCCGTACTGCAAGGGTTCCTCGAGTGATGAGGTCCTTAGTTTGAAGCTCTTTTTAGGCACAGATTTGCTGTTTGGCTCTGTATTTAATCACTTTAAAAGGCTAAGGCCAAAACACAGCTACCTACCTCCTACAGGTATTGTGCGAAAAAACGTTAGTATTTTGAGAACACTTTGAAAGTATTCCTGATGATGCAAGACATCATCTATATGGGCAGATAATACCTTTTATTAAAGCACGTGATAGAGTTGGAGAAACTGTCAAGTTTTTGGACAATTAAGCTTTCAACTCTGTTAATTAGTCTAATAAAAGTCATTACCTCTCCCACAAACCTTGCCTCACTTACACCCTTAACTGCTGTAGCAACAGCACTATGCAATAGTCTCTAGCAATGTGAGAGTGTGAGCACCTGGCAGGCAACATGGGAAATGCAGCTCTCCTCTCTGCCCAGGTAAGGCACCGCTGATGTTGAAATATAGGACCCCAGCATATCACACCTTGGATAAATCCATTCTACGCCACACAGTGAAGAACATAATTTCTATACAATTATATATCTCCAGCAGTGGTTTTCAGCCTTTTTCATTTGCAGATCCCTAAGTATCTTCCTTGGTCTCCTATTTACTGAGCTTAAACCGTGTAACAAAGAGCGTTTGCTTTTCTTGCGTACACCCTATACACCTGTTTGTGGACTATAGCTTGTGGACTGCTGGCTTGCAGAGTTAAAATACCAGGCCTAAAGGAACAAAATTATTTTAAATATGAGTATTTCCTTTTTGGCTGATAAATTTTGTTTCATAAAGATATTTATAAAGATTTCCCACAGGTTTTACTGTAGAGTGAAGTTCAGAGATTTTGCCTTTGGGGTTCCTAATAACTAGAGAAGGCCACTTTCAGTGGCACAACCAGGGTGTGTTGTGTTATTCCTGCCACACAAACTTGTTCTAGCAGCTGCCTTATGCTGGCTTTGAATCATCCCAAAGACAAAGAGAGCCAGTAGGCACTAGCACATCTATCCTGCTGCACACAAAGGAGGAGCAGACACAACACTGAAGGCAGAGGAGATACGGTCAACCTCATTAGCTGTCAGACTGATTTACCTTAAAACTTTATTTATTTGCTGGCCTAAACGACCTACCTGCTCAGCTGTATCTGCAATGGAAACACATTTGCCTGATGTACTTATGCGTCCCCGTGTGATAGCTCCTGGATGCAGGCTATGCGCTCGACTAGATCCCATGAGAGGTTCAGGAGCGGCCAACGTCTGCTGTAGGCTCCCTTTCTGCGCCTCCAGCACAACTCAGCTGAGTCAGTCATCAAGCGTTAACTAACTAAGGAAGTTAGGTACCTAGTTTTGTCAGAAAATTTGGACAATTAATTCCCCCATGGTTCTTCTGGAAAGAGAATCAGGTCTAAACAAAGGATAACTACAAGTATTACGCTACCATATGTGTTAAAAACAGTGCAGTTGATTATACATAATAGGGAAGGATGATGATACACCAGCGCTTCAGCTGGCTAGGAGCTCCTTGGGGAATGACATGAACAGACCTTATCCTGCTTTCCCTAGAGTAAATCAGAACTTAATTGCAGTGAGGTCTTTTTAACATATTAGAAAAAAGTTCATGTACAGAGTTGGACTTGTAGCTTTTTAGAAAGTGAGGTTAATACCTGCCCTATGAAACAACTTTTGTTTAGTTGTGGAAATATTACTGGGAGAAATTCTTCAGTGGGATAGCAAACAATTAAAATAAAATAAAGTTGTTTTTACTTTAAGACAAAAAAGTGGACTAATTCTAAACTGTTTTCCTTTGTCTTTGTCCAAATAAAACTATTTTTATCTTCCATTTTAAATTATGTACTGATACCAAATCTTGCTAAATTTTATTTTAAAAATAAACAGAAGTCCCTCCCTGCCTGCTCTCAAATCAAACTAAACAAACCTTTCAAAACACACCTTTAGGACTGCGTTTGGTCCTAATGGCTGGCTCCAGAAAAAGATGTCCTTGAGGGCTGGGGCAGGGGCGCTTTCTTTTGGCGAGAAAACAAAAACTCACGCACTCCCTGTGAAACCGTTTCTACTCCGGCGTCCTCAGGCAACGCCACTAAGGAGATCATCCTGCTGTTTGTCTGCCCTGCTCCCCGTCATCAAATATAGGTGACATGGGAAAAAGGAGCAAACTCAAAGACATGGTGCTTCTACGGTGTCCTTGAAAATAGCTGGTAGGTAGAAAAACGACCGGGGACGAGCAGGAAGCCGCCGTCAGCCAGCCGGCCCTGCCACACCGCTCGTTTTTCCTTCCTTTTTAACTCGGACAGCGAGCCAAGGTACAAGCAACTGCGCTGCCCCGCGCCCGGCGTCTGCGAACACCAGGCGTCTCGCGACATGCTCTCCGGCCTCTCTGCCGGACCGGTTACCGCGCGCCCGTGCGCGTTTTCATCCACCATCTGAAATCGTTGCATTTGTAATTTCTACTTACGCGCCGCGTGCTTGTCCGCGTGGCCGTTTCGAAACTCGGCAGGAAAGCGGAGGAGCTCACCAGCAGCCCACAGACCTCCTGTCCGCAGCCTGCGTAAAGCTAAGGCGGACAAGTCCGTCCTCCTGGCAAGCGGCGGTGGGCAGCGGGGGTTGCTCCAAGGATTTTGTATATTAAAAAAAAAAGAGAGAGAGAGAGAGAGAGAGAG